GCAGCCGCCGCTGCCGCCGCGAGAGGAGCGGAGCGGAGCGGAGCGGACACGGGCTGCAGCCGCTGCCTCCTCTCCCGCCCCGCGCAGCCCGAGCTCCGGCCCGCCCGCAGCCCTGGGACGGGGGGGACCCGGGCGGGAGGAGGAGGAGGAGGAGGAGGAGCAGCGCGGCTGAGGTGAGTGCAGCCCCGCATCCCCGCTGCCCTGTGCGGGGAGGCCTGCGGGTAGCCGGGATGCAGGCGGAGGGGCAGGGATGCTGCGGGGAGGCCTGGGCTCGGCTCGGCCCCTTGCACTTCTCCAGCTCCCCCCGCCCCCCAGCCAAGTTGGGCTCGGGGGAGAGGAGGGGCAGGCTCCCCCCAGCTCCCCGGGGGCTGCTGAGCTTTGTGACTGCTGATTTCGGGGCATCTACCCCACCCCTCCCCTCCCCAGGGTTGCCCCTGACCTCGCTGGCAGGCCGATGGCAGGGGGAGCAGACCTTGCCTTCCTCCTCTGCAGTTTCCGAAGTGCAGCCCTTCTGCCCAGGCTCCAGGGAGAGCTTTGCATTGTGGGCTTCAAAACAACCACGAATAAAATAAAATAATTGCTCTTTTGGGTCTATTTTTTTAAAACTGGTCATTTAAAAAAAAATTAAAATAAATCGGAGTTCTGTTTGAATTGTAGCCTGCCCTTATAAAGGTCCTGGCAGCAGCGCGTGAATCTAGACTGGAGTAAGATATTAATATCCTGTGCGTTTTCTGAAATCCCAAGAGTTGCGCAAGAGGAATCTGGGGCCGGAGAGCTCTGACTCTCGCAGGGAACCAGTGGCTGGGGGGCTCCCAAACCGAATTTAAGGGAGGGGGAACCCTCTCCCCTTTTTTTAAGGCTTAAAAGAGAAAATGCATTGCAGCATCCAGCAGCTGTTAGCTAGCCAGTGCTGACACCATCACTGAGTTAACTGTAGATGTCAGACTGTGCTCACCCTGGTGTGATGTCAGACTCCTAATACATGGAGCAGTGGAGAATTTTGGCCTGGCTAAAGATGCTGGATGCATCTCTTGTTTGTTTGTAGAATAGGTGTGGCATGGACAAGAGGTAGCAGACCCTTTCCCCTCCTTAGTGCTGGTTCTGCTAGATAGGCGGTTCCCTTGGGACAGCAGAATAATCAGTAACTGTCTGCATGGGTACACTGCAGGCTAGTAGGAGTGGATAGTTGCCAGTTTGCTTGGAGCAGAGTTGGTGCTGGCCAAGCTCCTTTATAAATGAGCCCCAATGCTCCCAAAGGGATGACCTGCAGGAGTAAAAAGGTAGTTTGCTCACAATACCTATCTGAACCTGAACTTCTTGGCCAAGGCTGTCTGCATGGATGTCAGTCACGAGTGATGTGTACACCTGGGCATTGGATTCAAGACTGAGGTAAACAACTGGGTTCATCCAGAACTGTGGTCTTGACGGCTGATTTCTGCTGACTTGCATACGAGGCAGTCGACTAAAAGTGAAAGGTGTTGTATCCGATTACTCAAGCCATCTGGTTTCCCTCCAGATACCTATTCCCAGTTGCTTAGGATATTGAAAAGCTGATTAAACTATTCTTGTGCTCTGCTTAGATAAAAGTTTGTGCATATTTTGTTTTGTATGCCTAGGTATTTTATAAAGGCTGTAAGACGTGTCCTAACTGTGGCTCTAAGATCTGCCCCGTGCACAGGTAGTTGAAGTTTGGCCTTTAGTGCTGTGCACAAGGTAGAGTGATGTTGGCGATGATTTCTTACCTTTGTTTTGTCATCTTGTCAAATTAGGCAACATGACTGATTTTGTGAAATACCAAAACAGCCTTATTGCAGACTCTTCTACCCTTGTTATTGTGGCTTCTTATAGAGTTTTCAGTCATATATTGCTTTGGGTTTTGGTTTTGCTGTTTTCTTTAATTAAGACTTCAGAATGATATACAATAATTGGTCTGTCCTTGCTTGAACAGCATCTAAAATAGAGTCTTAGGAGGTATTTAATATGTTGATTTACTTCCAAAAGGCACATACGTGGACAAACAGTGTCAGAAATAAGGCATGCTTATTTTGGGGTGGGAAAGGAGGAGGAGTTTTGCATCAGTATTGTTAAAGCTGTAATTTACAGGTATGACGTCAGAGATGTGAAAGATAAGCTTTTATGTGACATGAAATCTAAATTACAGCTTTGTTTTTATATCCAATAATTTATTTTGAAAAGCTGTGTTGTTCACTTAATAGCGTATGTTATAGTTGCAACAAGATACAACAGGATGTGTTTTTGTTGTGCAATAATGCTGAGTGGTTTTACCCTGTGTCTCAGCCTACGCTGGGTGTGAGGTTATTACACATTGTCTGCCCACCATGTTGTGTCTAGTACAGTACCCAACTATGAAGCATTGTCCAAGTGTTAAATGTTGCTTTCATGTGACATATCATTTGGTTCATACTGTTTTTTCAAATAAGTGGTGTTGCCTAAAGCAAGCATCTTCTATTAATCTATGCTGCAGAGAGTTGCTTAGTTGTTTAAGGGTAATATCATTTGATGTACAGTCAGATTAACAAAGGTTAATGAATATTTACCATTGAGATGTGTGCAGCATTTTAGTGCTGTGTATTTTCCAAATACATATTTGAAGTGGCATTGTAACATATTAAAACTATTTTCAACAAACTTCTATACTTTTGTTCTTGTTTTGTTTTATTAGTGATCTTGTGTTCTAGTAGCATTCTTAAATGTGTTATCTGCTTGCATGTGCTTGGCACTTTTAGTGTGTGGTCCAAAGGGTTTTCAGTCTAAACCCAATCGTATAAAAGTTGTTCAGTAGCTGCAGAGCTCTGGGCATGGTTGATTTCACTGGAGCTCCAAGTGGGTACATGCATATCTCAGTATAGGACTGGTGCCTAAGAAGGGAAGAAATAAAACCCATAGCATTTTTAATACACATTAACTGTACCTGGCAGCCCTTCAGCCTATCCATTATTTGTTGGCCAGTCTCTTGTAGTTGTTTCAGAAGCGGTAGGTAGAAGGAAAGATTTGAAGAAGTCGTCATCTTATGGGTCAGCTCGGGGAAGAAGATTGGGAGTAGAGTGGAAGAAGACACGAACATGTTTGTGGGAGTACTGGACAGTGAAAGCAAGCTTCTTTGGAACAGAAGAAAGCTGACTTCATAAAAGACAATAGCTACTGAATGAGGAAAGACAAGTGTGAATGGCCCCCATCTCCTAGACCTATGTAATGGAAAATGGAAACTTTATTCATAGAGCTGTGGAGCAAGGACAGTCTTTTGTTTATGTGCTTGTACACTGCTGGACTCAGTAGGGTCCTGGTCTATATCTGGAACTCTTAAGCATTACGTATCCTAGTAGCAGTCATGTTAGGATACCTACTCCATGTGAATTTAGAAGTAAAAAAAATCTTTTTTTCTGCAGAGGACCTATAATCTAAAAATACAAGCACTGTTATTACTATATGAGGTGGTGTAATTTCTTTGTTGGGGGGAAGGGAATGGCTTTTCTGTTACCAGTAAGAAGCAGTTTCATGTAGATCTTCATCATGACATAGGGCCCAATCTACTCCTTTTAAAATTAATTGGCATTTTGCCTTTGACTTTAGTGGAAGTAGGATATAGCCTGTGTTGTCACTGTTCCCTGCATCTGAACTTCCTTTAGCATAAGATAATGGAACAGCGTTATACTTGGAAGTAAACTCAAAAGGGAAGAAAAAGGGTGGATGTACTCAAGCAAAGTGTACTGCTGTTTCTTGCCTTGTTGCATCTTCTCTCTGAAGTATCTCGTTTAAGAAGTGCAGTCCTATGTAAGTGAGTGCCACTACTATGGGATGTTACTGACATCTGCAGTTGTATTATAGTGTATTGACTCATTATCTATGTTGGGATTATGTTGTATACCAAGTGCACTGATTTCGACATGGGCAGGTGCTTTCTAGCATAGGTAAAATTGTTCATTGTTGTAGGATTCTTGAGAGGGGGACAGTGAAATGCAGTGCTAATTCTTGGTACTTGTAAGAGGTTTTTCTTTGTGGGTATACATCTATGTCAACCATGATATATTAACAGGTTAGTATTTTTCTGATTTGGTTCTGAAAAGCATACTCTTCAAATGCAACACAAGGCTTGTACAACATTATGATTGTAATGTAAGTACCTATCATTGTGGCAGGTCTGGGGGGCATTGGCAGGAATACCTTTCCTCTTAATGTTGTACAGAGTAGTAAAATGGTTTCTAATGCAATAGTATCTCAGACAGAGTATGTCAAGCCTTAGCATTTATGTAAAGAAGCTAACATTTGCTTTGTAAATACAGATAACAGTATACAATAAACCAAGTATACCAATCAACCATCAAGGATGCGCTTATAGGCATTGCTCATGGTCTGTTTTATGTGGTGAAAAGGTGTGTGTGTATACCTCTATATATCTGTAGATATATATATACACACATATAATTAGAAATAAAGTAATGAAATTTCTGCAGCTACAAATTCCTTTTGTATATAGGTTTCAGTGGGTCTTTATTCAAAACCATTCAGAGTACAAAAGAATTGTTGTATGCCAAAGAGTGACTTCAGCAATTTTGTTTGAAGTTCCTGCCAAAGTAAATTTTGGTAAGGTATCTGGTGCAATGTCTTGCAGGGGTATGTTTAAGGGAATGGCAATAAAGAACTGCATTAAGCAGTTTTAAATTAAGAACCATATAATCCATGGGGGAAGTGTGGCGTGGTCTCTGAAATTCTTCTTTTGCTTACGTTTCCACTTAATGTCCAAACTGTTTTAAGAAGATGTGAATTTTACCAAGTTTCATTTTATGTTCCACATCCCTCTGGGGGGAAAATCTTCTTGACTCTGGTTGGAAGAATGCCCACCATAGAGGCTGCTGTGTTGGTGATTCAGGAGTGTTATGCAGGTTTTAGTGGTTGTCTGGGTGACAGAGTTTAAGCTAGATCCCTGTACTGGTGGAAACAGCAGTTATGTATGGTGAGTTAAAATAAACTTTCCTCTTCCACCCTTCTTCCTTTACCAAAAAAAAAAAAAACCTTCTTAAAGGATATTTTGTGCAGTATTTTTTGCTCTTTTCCAAAGGGGTGTGGCAGTTCTGTAAAATGATGTTCAGGGTGGGACAGTAGGAGGAGACTGGACAAATATTTTCTGCCTTTCCTTAAAATTAGGAAAGTTTCA